TATCAGCCTTAAAAATGAATGTGTATAGACATTCTGTTTTAACATTGATAATACCAGGTAATTAAATATATAAACATAATGTACATTTATATTTATTGTGATATTTTTTGTACATATTTAATTAGTAATTTTAAATGGCCAGATGGCCATGCAGTCAAGGTGGCAACCTACCTCTCTGGGAAACCCAGGATAAATCTGGACGGGTTAAAAAAATCCTCAAGAATTTTTCAGGAGGGTCCATCTGGATATGTTGGGACCGTTCCCTCACCAATCTGCCCCATTGTGGGCCTGGCCAAACCCATAATGGGCATGCTAAAATAGGCGCTCAGGGTGAAAAAAGTTAAAAAAAAAAAAAAATTAGTAATTTTAATGATATTTAGTTTAGTTATTAAAACTAGGTACATAGATCAGCATATAATAAAATAAACTTAAGCAATAATGAAAAATATTATACCAATTTAATACTTTTGGATTATATTTATGAACTATTAAAAATTTAGAATAATGCCTGCAGCTCATCATATGTGTGATGCTAGAGTAATTGAATACATAAAGAATTCAAGTATAGTGAAGTCTCACTACTCTGAACTAATTATTACACAAAGTTCTTCACATTAATGAAAACTTTGGATTAGTAAAATTGCACCTAAAGAAAAGAAAGCCTAAAAAGACTACAGACAATTACATCCATTTTTAAAAACTTATACTGCATTCATTTGGTATGCATTTATGTTAAAATTTTTATCGAAAAGAAATCAAAAGAGACTATAGCTAATTAATAGATGATCTGGTAAATTTTACAAATTTCACATGGCTCTTTATATGCCATCCTTTACAATGATTTGAAAATGCATTACAGATGTTTGTAAGTACAGGTAGTTACAAACATTCAACATATAAACTTTCATACTTGCATCTATTTGACTGTACTGTACATGTAAAATTTAAATTTTGTGTGGATTCTGAAGTTCTCTTGCCATTTGGGGGTGGAGTTGAAGTATGTCTTTGGCCAGTAATAAGTGTATTTAAAAGTTTCAATAAAAGTTTAGTTTACTTTTGCTTCTACCATATAGAGCTCAGTTATCTTTAATTTTCCAACTGAAACTAATACTATAATAAATTTTTGAGTTCTTAATACACAATTTTGTTTTTGCTGAATATAAAATTTTTTCTTATATATATTCTTAATTTAAATGAGAGAATAATAATTAAACAGTGGATTGTGACTGAATTTCTATTAGTATAATTTTCCACCTATAATCTACAGGTGCAATTATTTGCTGACAGTAAAGTTTGTCACATTATTTGTACACATTCATGTATTGTTTATTTACTTTCTTAGTGCATCACCAATGAAATGATACAGTTTGTATGTTTAATAATTAAAAATAAGTATTTGCTAATCTAAGAAAGAAATTACACAATTCATTTTAAAGTGATACAATGAAAATTTAAAATACAGAATTATAAAAGGCAGTTAGTCCCCACTCTATGACAGCTGAAACTGGTATATCAAGAAAATTATTTAAAGTTCAAACAATTGATCACATTTACATCCAAGAATAGGAACTATGGGATTCTTAGAGAAGCTACAAAACAGTCATCCATTTTACCAACACCTCACTAGAATCCAAATTATGTAATTTTCATATGTATATTTGACTACTTTTTAACAAGTGTAACAAGGAGCACTGTTATTCTATCCAAAAGGGCCTGCCCACCATAGCATTAGAAACATCTGCAACCAAAAATAACATGCACAAAGGGCATACATGAATATACAGGATGTTCCACTCGAGAGTACAACTTTAAAAATGCAAATTACTTGTGAACGTATGCATGTATCATCATGAAACAAGGTTCAAAATATTCCTTATTTAATGAAGAATTGATTTGTGCAACCCGGCATCTGGCTGGCGGTGCCTGGTCCAATTTTCTTTGATGAGACTGTGAACACTGACCAATACTTGTCCATATTTGACGAATTTGTGAAACAACTGGATGACTACAAACTACAAGAAGGTTACTTCCAACAGGACGGAGTAATGTGCCATACCTCTCATGCCAGTATGGAATGGATCTGATCATTTTTTGGAGACAGGGTGATCTCTAAAGGTTTGTGGCCACCTTGATTGCCCGATTTAACTCCCCAGATTTTTTTCTATGGGGATATTTAAAGGGCAAGGTGTATGCAAGCAAACCCAGGACCATCGAACAACTGAAGGCAAACATCGAGTGTAAAATTGCTGCCATGGACAGTGACATGTTGCAGAGGACGTTCTCAAATATGGAGTGTCGCATTTCCTTGTGTGCAGACGATGGGGGAGGACATTTTCAGCACCTTTTGTAATGTGGACTTGTTTTCCACTAAATACAGGTATATTCAGTTCTTACAGCTTGCCTTTACGTTTATGCATTCATGAGTAATTCACACTTTTAAAGTTGTACTCCCGAGTGGGACTCCCTGTATTAATGAAACAGAATTGCACTCATGGGATTCTTGGAGAAGGTAGTTAATGATTATCTAAGCTAAAACATATTTTAAACAAAGGTTAACTTTAAAATGTTTACTGGAGGGCTGGCAGACTTAAATAATACTATAGTCCATTACAAGTAGAAGTGAATGGATTTGTTGCTTTTGCCTTTTGTAAAAGTCTGCCAAACATAAATTCTCCATCACATTTTATCAGGTCAACACAACTTCTTGACTTAACAAACAATAAAATAATTTGAGAGCTATTTTTTAATGTTACGGAAAATTATTGGAATAAGCAATTATTTATTGTGACATTGTTACAATGCCTGGCTGCAATTTTTAATTTGAAACATATGCTTTCCACCTCAAATTAATAGTATCTTGCCCCTGTACATCATTACTTTCCTGCTAGCAATAGAGTTGTGCTGGTCATCTATCTAACTCCTTTCAGGGGAAATTTTTGAATTGAAATAACATGATTTCCAGTGCAAATTGGAAGTTCATATATATTTAGTACTTATGAAACTGTGCCAGTAATTATTTTGCAACTCGAACAGCAACTATATAGTGTATTCACTCAGACACAAGACAAATCTCATCATTAATTTTTATTTAGTTGATACGTGTACAAACATTAAATACACGTATCAACTAAATAAAAATTAATGATGAGATTTGCCTTGTGTCTGAGTGAATACCACTATATCAGTGTTTTTCAACCTGTGGGTCACAACCCGCAGGGGGGTCGCAAAGCGTTATATGGAGGTCATGGGTAAAAGAAAAAGACAAGTGTTTGTAGGTCCTACACTACAATAAAAAAAAAACTACAATTTCAGTGAGAAGGCTGTACCTGTTTATTTTACAGTACAATTGGTTTTTCGATCGATATTTAGGTCTCAACAGAAAGAAAATTAAATACGTAGTTTTTAAAATCACTGATAAAGTTTTAATATGGCCCTGGGGGGTTGCCAGAAGTTTTTAACATGGGGTCACATATTCAAGAAGGTTGAAAAACACTGCACTACATAGTTGGTGTTTGAGTTGCAAAAGTTCATATATAGTTAATCGGGGCCTCCTGCCTCTAAGCTTTCCATATCTGGTCTTGACTTTCATCTATCTAACTCTGTTATTGAGATTAAGGAATGACAGACAGACAGATGGTCAACAGTGGGAATTTATAGGTTTACAGTTTTTCAAAATGCAGCCCAAAAATTGGTATGGATATAGTATGGAATGTATCAAAAATTTACTATATATATACAGTAGACCCCCTATAATGCGAAGATACATTCCTCGTTATACGAATTTCGCGTTGTAGGAATCCTTGGGCTGTGATTGGCTCACATATTTGACACGTGTGAAGTTTACGGACTACGGCTGTTTGAAAGGTTTCCTTCCATAAAATTAATCGATTCTAGACTAATTCGACTTAACATTTCCAAAATACATATATTTTTTTTGGAAATAATCCGTATAAACTACGCTATAAGCAAAAAATTGTAGGATTACTTCTTACCGAGTGTGCACCATTCGACATCAGCGTTGCTCAAGCTTGTTTTCGTCGAGGAACATCGCAGCAAACCGCGGCTGCGATTTCAGATGTTATTTTTCTGCGAAAATTTCGTTGGACTTTGGAGACATCATTAATATAAATAATTTTTATGGCTGTTGAATAAGAAATGTTTCTTTCACAAGAAATGTATAAAATTACAGTACTGTATTAGACTTACGGTACCCAATTTACATAGATTAAAAGAAATATTTAGTTGATATAAATGACATGTTTGCCAAGCTGCCACCACCAATATCTGTAGTTTCTTCATCCTTTATGCGGTGCCAGCAACCTTTTTATTTAATATTCTTTTTTGATGGTTATGCCAATGTTGGCAAATATTAAAACATTTATTAGCATTTATAGCTTGTTTTTAAGTATAAAGTGGATATTATGAATTCAAAATTTATATACTGTCAAATGAGTGTAATTCTTTTGATTCTTGAGCCATTTTGTAATTATTTAAATACAAGAATGATAGTTTAAACTTTACAAAACATGTATGCTATTTGAACATGCATGCTTTTCTTGGATGTGTAATCTTTACATCTGATGATGGAACACCGCTGTCTGATCATTTATTACCCTGTTCCATGATTAGAAATGCCATGTTTAAAAAGTTAAGTTTTTTTGGGAAACCCAGTATCAATACTGAAAAAATGGTAGCTTTGAAAGATTGGCAATGGACAGTGCTACTGCAGTGTATAATTAAATTTGTTCTCTATAATCTCAGTTCATAACAAATGATTGTAAACCAAAAAGTGTCTGGACAAAGAAGTCTTCCTTATAGGCAGGAAATTTTAGTACTTAAATTTGTAATTTTTAATATTATTGTCTTAAAGTTTTTTACTTGATTAATATAAGTGTTTTAAAATAAAGAGTGAAAATAGTTAATATATTATATCTAATTTATCAAAATGAGAAAATGATTTTATTTTTGATCATTATGAAATTTGACATATTTTATTACAGGAACAGGAACTTGAAGATAAACTTCAGACTTTAGCTACTCATGTCAGTCCATTATATAAGAAAGTTGCACCAGATTCATATAATAATCAGGTATTGTATGAATTTATTAATGTCTAAACATAAATATTGTTTGAAAGAATTAAATGACAAGATATCTGTAACTAAAAGAGACAGATTTTAATTTTTCCTTAAACTGAACTTTGATTTTGTCTTCTATGTATTCTAGTTTAATCAGACCATTTACAAAAATTATTTACAAATGTAATTTTAATTATTTAATTTAATTATTATAAGGACCTTGAATAAGTTCTCGCTGTTTTTTTGTGAAAATTAACACTTTATTTAAAAAAAGTCGTAATAAACACGTCACTGAAAGTATTGTCCATCACTAGCCACTACTTTCTCCCATCGTTCTGGCAGCATTTGAATTCCATGTCGGAAAAACGACACGTTTTTTGAGGCTATCCAAGAATCAACCCATTTTTTGGCATCTTCATAAGAACGAAAGTGCTGCTCAGCCAGGCCATGTGACATCGATCGGAACAAGTGATAATCGGAAGGGGCGATGTCTGGTGAATATGGCGGGTGGGGTAGGACTTCCCATTTAAGCGTTTCCAAGTACGTTTTCACCGGTTGTGCAACATGTGGCCGAGCATTGTCATGTTGCAAAATCACTTTGTCGTGTCTCTGCTCATATAGCGGCCGTTTTTCCTTCAATGCTTGGCTCAAACGCATCAATTGTAGTCGATAGCGATCTCCCGTGATAGTTTCGTTTGGTTTGAGCAGCTCGTAATAAACTACACCTAGCTGATCCCACCAAATGCAGAGCAGAAGCTTCGAACCATGGATATTCGGCCTTGCTGACGATGTTGATGCATGACCGGGCTTACCCCACGATTTTCTACGCTTAGGGTTATCGTAGTGTATCCATTTTTCGTCACCTGTCACGATACGATGCAGAAAACCTTTCCTTTTCTGCCGTTGAAGCAGCTGTTCACATGTGAAAAGACGCCGTTCGACATCTCTCGGCTTCAACTCGTACGGCACCCAATGTCCTTGCTTTTGAATCATTCCTAATCCTTTTAAACGTTTCGAAACTGTTGTGTGATCAACTCCTAATGATTCTGCAAGTTCAGCTAGCGTCTGACATGAGTCTTCATGAAGTAATGCCTCTAATTCCTTGTCTTCAAACTTTTTTGGTGCACCAGATCGTTCTTTATCTTCAACATCAAAATCATTATTTTTGAAGCGTCTAAACCAATCTCTGCATGTTGTTTCCGACAGAGCATGGTCGCCGTAAGTCTCAACAAGAATTCTGTGTGCTTCAGCTGCAGATTTTTTTTGAATAAAATAGTGCAATAAAATTCCCCGCAAATACTTTTTTTTTTGGCACGAAACTAGACATGTTTAACACAATGAAAAAATAAGTTGTTTACACTTCGGTGAAATGATATATACTGAATTTCAAGGTCGCTTATTGTACTTCCTTACAGATGCGTCACCATCTAAAAATAAACACATGTGGTTCTGGTAACGCCATCTGTTGGAAAACAGCGAGAACTTATTCAAGGTCCTTATAATACTAATACAATTTATGATTATAGAAGTTTCAGAAATTCCTGGCAGTAACTTTTTATATATTTATTACTTTTCAATATTACTTATATATTACTTTTCAATTATTTAATTATTATTTAATTAAATCAACATATATATATATAAATAAATATATTGATTTTTGCCAAACTTCAAAATTTGACAGTCATTTTTATTTAAAGATTATTGACCTTTAAAAACATATCTAGACTAATGTAATCAGACTATAAATTATTATTGTCATAAGTTGTGATTATGTGCTCACGATTGTGTAATTCAGACATGCAAAAATACTTAATATAAATTATTGTCTTTTGTAAAAAATTTTATTGATACATATTTAATAATTATTGTATATTCTTATTTTAAAATTAAGTCAGTTTAAATATAAGTTTTTATGAAAGCTTTATCTTATGAAGTATTTCTGAAATAATATTGTATCAAGATTGAATTAGAAATTATAAGAAAAAATTAGAAGTACAGTAGACTCTCCCGTATCCAAACTAATGTGGGCAGGAGTGATCCAGATATTAAAAAGAAAATCCGGATAACAGAGTGTGATAATTTTTAAATAAGACTGTAATATATATGGCTAATGTACCATATATGTACTGTACTGTACTTTATGTATATGTAAAAAAAAATGTTTATTTTGTCTTTGACGCTTATTTTTGGCAATTACAATTAATTTTGAAAGTATTGTATTAAAGTTATTTGTTTTGTTCATCTCGATTTGCTGACAAGCCGCTACATTATACTAATACCTCATCATTATCACATCACTGGTGGTCAGCAAAAGCTCGTAGAAAGTCACATTGTGGAAAGGTAAGTATCAGAGTAGTGTACAATATTTTCAAAAATATTTGGTTGCCTTTGTGTCAGGAGGATACAAATGTGGGAGAGTCTACTGTAGTAAATATTTAAAAAATCTGTCTTTGCTGAACTTACTGATGAGTATTGTATTATTTCAGTTTTAAATCAAGTAGATAATGAGTTAGCTGTCATTTTTATATGGGACTGTCCATTAATTATGTCCACTTTTTCTTGGAATTTTTACTCTCTCTCCCCCATTGTCCCAGTTTGTCCAAGTTTCCATAACTCCCTCCCCCTCTTTGGATGTCCAACAAAAGTCAACCCTCCTCAAAACCTTTATTACTTTATGAATAATAAAATGCATAAACTGTATAAAATTTAATGAAATAAAACAGACATCCATTGAAGTTCAACCCCTCCCCACCCCTTTTCCAACTTTGTCTGACTTGTCATAACCCCATCCTTCCCTTCCAGTGTGGACATCATTTATCGACAACCCCTAAGTTGTAGCATTGATTTCTGTAAAAAACTATTGAAATTTTGCATTTTTATTGTGAAAATAAAAGTGATTTTTATTAATTAGTGGTCATTCATTTAATTTCAGAAACTAGAATATTTAAAACATGCTAGTTTATAAAATTAAATAAATATTTCTAATTCAAAATAATAATTATAATAAAAATTTCACTCATTGTAGTCTTATTTACTTCTCTCAATATTACCTCTCTCAACATTATCTGTATATGCATGTCCCAAAGTGATTATAATTAGTAGATTACTGTAATTAGAAATATTAAAAATTTCATAATTTAAATTATAATTTTCTGGAATGAAAAGTTGAGTAGAGAAATAGAAAATACAATTAGAAAATTTCTCTATCATTTTGTTAAAAATTAAATATGTGGAGCATTCAGAGAATAAAGAATGTTTGGCTATAAAAAAAAAACAGTAATAATAGGAAATAAGTTTTATTAAGTAATTAGTACAAGACCAGTTATTTTTATACATAGTTACCACTATGACTTAAACACTTTTAGTGTGACACTAGTTTTTGGATTCTTTCATCATAGACTTTCACCACCAGTTTTTTCAGCCAGTTACTGACAGCTTCTTCACTCATCATCCATTCTAAAACATTTGCCATCCAAAAACTCTTTCAGTTTGGGAAAGAGATGAAAGTCACTGGGAGCCATACGAATTTCATTATCGATTTTTTTGTTTCAGTTCTTCATTCTCAAGAGATGGTCATCCAGATGATGTTCATTGTGAACTAATAATCTTTGATTAAACTGTAGATCTGTAGTGGCCGAAGCACACAGAATGTGGAGGGTAAGAGATGAAGGGCCTTACAAACAACAATTAACACGAGGAATTTAGAATTTAACAGTTTTATAATACTAAAATCAAATATACAATTCTCAACAGTACAAGATAAATAATTGTAACCAGTCTTAACATGCACAGAATGAGGTTAATTAAACTATTAATCCTAATAACATTAAAGATAACTACATGAAAATATTTACAATCATTTTACACTGACGGAACATATGCTGATTAGTCGATGAGTGACTCTCCTTACCAGCGTAGCAGGTTATCCTTAGTCACGTGACAGTTAAATCCTTTTTAGCGAAAATTTCGTACCTAATAAGGAAATATTCGTATCAAGGTGTTAATCACTTGTAAGACTACTCAATAACAGTTCAGCAGTAGGTTCAAGCTATGTCCTCATGGCGATGGAAAAAGATTTTTCCTTTCATTACGTCCATTCAAAACCTTGGCACAATTGCAGAATTTTCTTTGTTCTTACCTCGCTTCTTCCTTCTCCCTGGTAGAGCCTGAAAGCCTCCTTAGGTGCAGACCGGTGACTAACAGAACAAAAAAATGGCCCTTGCATATGACACTTCTACAATTTATACCTTGTGCCATCCAAATCATGTGAGCTATACGTAGGCCAATAATAGTCCAATCATAAACCAACACAAAATGGTTCCCGCCTTACACGTACATCAATGAAGACAATTACAATAAAAACTAGTGCGCGACAAATGGAAATAATTACAATCACTAGGTAATGCGACAATTGAGATAAATCCTGGTACAGAGATTACAGAAACAAGAAAAACGAATAAAGTACAAAAATAATAGTGGCAGAGCACTACAAAACAATAAACACCATTTTCTCACACTTCCTTCATTCATCTGTGATCATACACTTTTGTGATTTACTTACAAATTTTTATAGGACAAACTTTCTTTGCAGTTAGAAAGCGAATAGCACTTTACCTTTGGCAGGACTTTTGACTTTTGCACACATTTTAACCAAGACAAAACGGTAATAATATGCTTGCCATTATCAAAACTCTACATGCACTAAGCTAACATATCAGAGAGCAAATTGAATTTGAAAACAGAAATCATTCACCTATACAGAGTGCTAAGCTCAAATGTTCTTTATTCTCTGGACATCCCTCATAGTAATATGATTTATTGATATTGAATTCTTTCTAAAATTTTCTTTCTTCTTTATAAATTTCAAAATCAAAAGAGAAAAATATAGAATTTTTAAGCATATAATTTTTTTTATATAAGTAGCATCATAACTGTTACAGTCAGCTTACTCTTGTCATTGTATTTATCTGTAAGTCTATAACTTTTAAGTGATAATTAGGATTTGCATTACCAATAAATTAGTTTACTGATTACCAGTAATCAGTTAAAAAATGCATTAGTAAATGTACTGGAGTTGCAGTAAGCCATATTGTCTGTTTTTGTCCTTCATACACTTTTTTCTGCTCTTTGTTCTTTCCACCTTCTAGAACTGTCTAATCTTACAAATTATTTTCTCTTGGAGGTGAGGCTACTTTCTAGAAATCACCAACATTGTATGCGAGGTTACCTAAGGGCATATGAAGCAAAGCATTGTGCTCGAAGAGAGAAAACCATGAAAGGAGAGAGATGTTACAGTGTCCAGTGGCCAAGCCTAGATGGGTTAAGCTAGAAATTTGAGTGGGAACTTTGAAATTTCTGGGTTGACATTATTGTGTTAGAGCTACCGTTTCAGCTTAAAGTGTTGGAATGTGCAACTGACCTTTAGGATAAAAAAATACAAGAAAACTCTCAAGATCCGAGAAAAAGGAAGATAGAAACAAGTATTTTGTATTTACAAAGCTCACATGTGGCCTTCATGGTTACCAAAAGACCTGGTATTTTTTCCTCTCCTATCCACCATCTTTGCTCCCTATCTACTTCTTGCTCCCTATTTTCAATTTTTTTTTTTTTAATTAGAGTAACTGTAATATTAAGGGTTAGTGTTAGAAAAATTATTCTTGTTTGTAGTATTGAATTATTGTGATTGCAATTTGGTGTGATGTGGCCATTTTATTTTTGTAATTGTTCCACTGACTGGGTTTAGGATTGCTGCCAGAGTAATTGTCCTAGAGTTGGCATTCTAGAGTACAAAAATAAATTGAGTTTTTAGTTTTTAACATGTACTGTGCATGTTTCTTTTTCTTGGGTGTTTGCCTTAGTTGGCTAACAAAAACTCTTTCATATCTCACACTGGTAATTTGATATTTTTTTCTGGTAAATTCAGTAAAAATAGGTAGACATGTAATAATTTTTTTGAAACTAAATATTTATTTGTCCACACTTTCATGTAACATTTATATTTTTACATATTAAAGACATATATAAGCATCAAATATTGTACTTTAAACCATAAAAGTAGTTTACATTATTTATTTTTTAAATTACTACTTTTAATTTTAAATTATTACTTTATAATTTTTAATTTCCGTTTTTAATGTATCTTATTACTATACTACACTGGACACTTTGCAATTTGTTTCTCTATTTTTAATATCTATAGTATGCTAGCAATTTTATTTGAGCAACTTTTTAGTTGATAAAATGGAATACATTTATTTGAATATGAGCCCCTGCATTGGCAACTTTTTAATCACACCAAGTAAAAAATTTCAGATAAAATTGTTGCTTTTCAAAATAGAACAAAGGAAATTCAATTGGACTAGTGATTGTTTAGTTGCCAACTCACCAATAAGTCAGTAAGTAAACAATTAATAGTCTGCTATTTTTGCATCTGGAGTCAAAATTTAAAAATTGTAGTTAATTTTCTAGTATACTGGTAATATTTTGAAAATTCACTGTATTACCAGTAATAGTAAGTAAGTAAGTAATCTTTATTGGCGTAGAAGGCTTTCGCCTGTTACAAGGGCGTTTTAATTTTGAATTAATGCATATTAACATCTCATATAATAATTTTTAACAATATTAATATTTTCTATTTATCAGTCTATACAATTATATTAATAATTTGACATAATTATTATTTAATTAGTTGTTTAACATAATTATACAACTTNTTATTTTGTTTTCATTGGCTTCAACTGACCATCCAGAACGTGGTGCATCTTCAATATTGAAATTGCCAGAACGAAATTTTGTAAACCAGTTTTGGCACTGTCGTTCTGTCAATACATCTTTTCCGTATGTCACACAATTTTTTTCTTGCTTGAACAGCATTCTTACCTTTTCGGTAATAAAGGCGCAAAATATACCGAAAATGCTGCTTTGGATCTTCCATATATGATGGGACACAAAAAATAAACAATTGCACAAAATCAAACAAATTTTTTTGCAAATAAGCCTTAAAATGCTAGTTGTCAAAATATATAATGATAATACGGTTTAGAATGTAAATGGCGGAAAAAGTATGACTAATCCGTCTAGTGGTAAAAAAAACGAAATTACTTTCTGAACAACCTAATAGTAGGCATGTGAAAATTTAAAATATATAATCAGGCATTTTCTATATTTTTTAAATGTAAAACTTTAAAATTTGACAAAATTTATAAATTACTAAAATTTATCTATGGTAAAATCAAACTATAGTGTAATATAAACACATACATACAAATTCAAATCTGATATTTAAGATGTTTATCTGTATGTGTTGTCGATTAGAAGACCTAAGTCCAAGGATATAAATCAGAAGTTTTGTGCTTTTTATTCAAGGCTGTTACCATTAGTAACAATAAGTTTTTCAAAAGAAAATTTCTATAATGTAGCATCATTATCTGAACATTTTTCCATTTGGCTTTTGCTTCATTTTTTTCTTTGAAGAATCTATTGATATTTTTACTACTGTCAGTAACTTAGTCCTGAATAAAAAAAACACGATGCTTCTGATTTAGATCCTTGGGTTTGGGTGCTCTTATCAATATTACAAACAGATGAACATCTTAAATGTTAGACTTGAATTTGTGTTTTACGTAGTTTTGATTCTATTATAAGTTAATTTTAGTTAGATGGAAATTTTGTTAAATGCATTACGTTTGAAAAATTTTACACTTTTAAGTATCTTCTGTTTTAAAATCTTTTTTGTCATAAGTCTACTACATTTTCAAAGTTCATATTCAAATCCATTATTTGCCAACATTTAAATTAATAAATATTTGTTAATATTAAAGCTTATGTTGGCTATATGATGATGAACTTAGTCTTGAAAAATATTTTATCTCATCTTATAAAACTTACTGATTCTTTTAATGTTTATTGTTACTTGTTTATGGAGGAGTTGTATTGTGACAAGAGTTGTATTTTATATAATTGAAATGATATTACTTAATCCAATATTATATATATAACATAGTCATAAATTCAAAATATAAATGTAATATCTAATAAATTTATTTGTCAATTTTCAATTAAAGCATGTAATTATTATTACCATCTAACAGTGATGATTTTAATGATTAAATATTGTAATTTCCTGCAAATAAACCTTGGGTTATCTGTATTTTAAAATCAGTTTGAACGACAGTGAGAGTTATGCAGCACTGAAAGATTATTAATTAATTTTAATTGTAATTATGATTTCATCCAACAGGTTTTCTTTGTTTAAATTTAATAAGAGCATTTTTAAAAATTGCAAAAAATCCTTTACTTGCTACACATTCATCTGCAATCTCAATTTGCTGGAAACCACCAAAGATGCATCAGCTTTAGTTCTGTGAAAACTTACAAGTGCTCCCTATCAGCTTTTGTCACCACTGTGTTTTTTCTCTTGTAACACACAAGGTGTGCGAGCGGTCCATATGGGGATGAATGTGAGCAGACAGTGGAGGGAAGATAAAAGAGACAGAGAGGTCTGGAATAAAATGCACTTGACAAAAATTATACTAAATAAACATTAAATTTTATTTTTATGAAACACATATATAGTTGTAATTAATGTATATTAAGAACAATAATTAAATTCAAACAAAGACAAACCATTTTGAGACTTAACAGACATATAACAATATAAGTGCATCCTAGATGGACCTTCAAAATTATCAAATTAGATCACTGACAACTCAAATCTGTTTCTAACCTTAAAACTCTTAAAATTTAGATATCCTGACCTTGAGAAAAAGACAGTTGCTCTTTATCACGAGCAGATAATTACCTCAATGACTTTGTCCTCTTTATGAATTCTTCCAGATGAGGTCCTTTGTCAGAGAATTAAATGGATAACAGTCACAATTCTGCAGATGGGAAATTTGATGAGGAGCTTATCAGTAACTTGAGAGATGAATGGGACCATTGACTTGTACAAGGTTCTAATTTTGAATGGGATGACTGAACTGAGCGGCATACTGGAATTGGACGTCTGGAGGATTGGACTATTCTCGTAAACCAGACATCTTAAATGACCTTTTTGAAATCCTTTTATAATTTTTAGTTTGTTCCTTGAGTCAGAACACTTCCAAAAATGGTAATATTAGATGAAGAGATTGTTAATGACCAATCTGAAATTTCTTTCTCTTGTTTCCTGGGGGGTGAGTAACTATCTCAGGAAAGAGTTTTGTTAGAAAAGAAGTGTTATCTTTATCAACATCTTGTTATTTCCTTGTTTTTTTTCTAAAATTTTTCTCCTTTGTTATAATTTATTTCGAATAAATTATAAAACTACAGCTCAGGATCTCACAGTTCTCTCCTGTTTTTACTTTCCTAGCTGTTGTATATAACATTTACTAAAAGATTAGAAGGCCACCAGCAATAGGTATAGCCTTGGAAAAGAAAAGATGAAGAGTTATAGTAGAAGTGAGAAGAGTGATGAGAAGAGAAAGGTAGATAGGAAAGAGTGAAATATGACATCTCAGAGCACCTGCCGAGTGCCATTTATTAAATACAAAAAAGTTCAAATAGCCAAAATACAGTGGTATATATCAGGTCAGTCCATAAGTTCGTGCGCATTTTTATCTACAAAAAAAGCAACAAAAAATTTTAATTAAATCTTATTTCAATCTATAATGTATTCACCATTATTTTGTACAATTTCTTCCCATCTTGATGGTAGCTTTTTAATCCCGTCTTTGTAAAATGATTTTGGTTTTGAATCAAAATATTCAGAAATAGCCTTTTTTACATTGNCATATTAATATGAATATGATATTTTATAATATATTTTTAACTGTATTAAATAATAATTTATATTTGGTGCAAATGATTTGTTTTAGGTTGTTACATTGACAAAACATCAAGGCTGGCACAAACCTGACAATGAACAATTGCATGTACTTCCACTTTACATTTTAGATGAGACAGATGAATTTGGAAGTAGAGAAGGTCAGAACTTAAAAGTAAGTACTTAATAATTTTTATAAATTTGTTACAATAATTAAAAAAACATTGATTTTAAATTGTAATAGACTGAGCTATACACATTTTAGTATAAACTTATCGAGATATCATAAAAACAGAGATGCCAATCATCATGGAAAATCCATGCTGCTGTGTGTAAATTATGGACTTATAGGTAGCCCTCTAAAAACTGTGGAATAATCTTTTATATTCTCAAATAAGCATGCCAATCCAACAAGATACAACAAGAAGTATAGGTGTTGGTTAACATTTTGTCTGCATACAATTGCTACCGTGCTGAGTATCAAATCAATCAATGCATTCATTCCATGTTATTGATATGTACAGGTAGTAGGCACTCCAGTTTGCTGACATCTAACTAATAGTATAAAAATTGTTCCTGTGCACAATTGAGTTGCACTGCTTGCACTACAAAAAAATGACTTGTACTCATGTATAAAAGTGATGCTTGTTCTGACTTCATGATTGAATGTGCTGGAAAAAACCGTGTAATTTATGCATGACATAGACAAAACGGCAAATTCTATCAGTTTACAATACAAATTTTAGAATTTTATTCTATCAAATGAGAAATATCAGTTTAAACTTATTCTAAAACTCTATTGCTTCAGATAATAATTTGAAAATAGAACTTATTTTAGAATAAAATTAAGATAGTTTATGAATATCTGAACATTGGAGTGATGATGTGTTATTGGAAGTGGGATAGATGGGAACATTTCTCCTCATTCATTCTGCTCTTCAGCTGTGACATATGATTTTGCACTACTGGTGGTCCTTTTCTCAGGTTAGCATTTCTTATAAAAAGTTTTTTGATAAAGATTAAATGTAGATCTAAAAGTCAGATTATTTTTGGATTATGATTAAGTGAATTTAAAGTTGGCTAAATACCATGGAGAAATAGAAATATAGATATAGATATTCCCAGTTAACACAGCAACAATTATTGGTATTATTATATGATCCAAATTAATATATATGTGGAAACAAATTAAGATTGGACAAGGAAGGATCTGGATAATGTCGAGTAATGTGTGTAATGGGTAATTAAGTCAGATGATGCACTAGAACCTTGTAAACACATTTGTTTCTTGACACAAAAAAACACATTTAACATACGAGAACAACACCAACTCAACCATCAACCACAGGATCTGTCATTTCTACCAGTCCATGGGATAGCTTCTTCTCTTCTCCTTGTCCAAAATTCCTTTCCTTGTCCAAAAACATCATCTTTCAGCATTTCCTATATCGACCCACTTCCTCTTGTTCCAGGAACCATTTTGTTTTTATAAGGGGTGAAGGTGTTGGAACTTGACAGATTTCAATCCTACTCAGGATCAATTTTTTTCTTTCAGAATATTATCACTTTTTTCTTTCAGAATATTATACTCAGGATCAATTTTTTTCTTTCAGAATATTATAAACTATTTACTTAAATTTAAAATTAATTTTTAATTAGTAGTCTTAGCACAAGATGGTTGCATAATCACTTAGCATTAGCATTAAGTCAAATTCCATATATTAATTTAAATTGACTTAATTCTACCTTGAAAATAATTCAGCTTTTAGATATATGTATGGCTGTAAAAACTGGCTTTGATTTACTCTATATTGATGATGATTTTTGGTCTGCAGCATAAAACTTGAGTTGTTATTAGCGAGGCTGCGGCCAACGTTTTCAACGTGAAAACGTGTACGTCAGACTTCAGCGCCATCTTCCTGTAAGCCTAGAAGTTTGACAATGGCATTTGGAACATTGAGCATGATTCCACTGACGTTCCAAACGCTATTGTCAAACTTCTAGGCTTACAGGAAGACGGCGCTGAAGTCTGACGTACACATTGAAAACGTCGGCTACAACCTCACTATTATTTTTTTAAATTTATGATTAAAAAAGTTATTCCCAATCAAGTTTTTATAAAAAAAATTAAGTAATTATAATAACTGTTCCTTTATTGAAGAAAAGTTGTAACATGTATATTAATAATAATCATTGATAAAGTATTTATCAGTTAATGATAAATTGTTTAGCTTTAAATACTTTTTGTAATGTCATAATTGGGTGATTTAGATATTAATGTATTTGGATACATACTACATTTAAATTTAATTTGAATGTTTATTTCTTATATTTCTCATTACAGATAAAAAATGGTGCCATAGAAGTTCTTCATAAATATCCATTGGAATTACGAATTAGAACTACACCTCTAGGACCATGCAGAAAACGCATCAGAAAATCAAAAGCTGGAGCTAATACTGCATTATATATCAGAAAAGAAATCAAACAAAAACAATATTATAGAAATTTGCAAAAAAAGAATTCTATTTCGTTTAGATCTGGATTAACAAATAGAAAAAAATGGATCTCATTTAAAACGAGTAAGAGTTATAACAAAGTTTTTTCTTCTGGAGTAAAAACTCTTAATCAGTTTAATATACAAGCTAATAATAATCATTTGTTTGAAAATATTAAACCTGATTATGAAAATTTTCATGATAAAATTAAAAAGGAAGATGAACAATCTTACCAAAATTGTATCGATGCGTTTCCTAATACTTCTAAATTACATATAAAAAATAATATCAAAATTGAAATGGAAAATAATTTCAAACAAGAGCAGGAATGTTCTAGTAAAATATATAGAATTAAAAATTCAGAAATTCAACCTGTAAATACATCTGACTTTAATATAGTTAGAGAGTCTTTGTCAGGTAGAAAGCAGTTAGATAATAAAACTGATAGTAAGGAAGTATCATCTACACAACCATTTAATATTAGTAGTCCACATTATTTGCAGAAAACTGCCATTAATTCATCAAAATGTGATTTTAATAATTTATATTTAAATAAAAGTTTGAATCAAGATGAAATTATTCATTCTTCATCATATTTAAATTCCTCATCACTGCCATCCCATGACAGCCATTACCAAAATGGAATTCATTTGCCATTACAATCATCACAGCCAATATCATCATCATTGTCATCCTCATCAAATTGTACAGATAATTTTACAAATTATGTAACTAAAAAAGAACTACAGGAAAAAGTCTTGAAAGAATCCTCAGCATACACAGAAAAATTATTTGGCTTGCATTCAAATTATCCATTTGAATCCATTTTATCCTCCAGTCCTTCTGTTTCATGTCATAAAGAAATTAATTCAGTAGGACTTCAGAAAAGTTTTACAAGTAATGATAATGCTTGTAATTCAGATGTACAGAGTTATTCAAGATCAGTTATTCAAGATAATAAATCATTAACACTTCACAGTTTCAAAAAACAATCATTTGAAAATGTATCTGAATATAAAGCAGATCATAGTAATATAAATCAAAATAATTCATCTTCTGTAAATATAAATAGTAATAATGAATTTATAAATAAACCAAAATATTCTGTATCAGAACACAATACAGTATGTTCTCAAAATAATCTAAATTATTTTAATAGTAAAACCTTAGAAAATGAGAATTTTAAAGAACTGCATAACAAAAATTTATCGTGGAATAACCCATCACAATCTTTTGATGGTAATAACTGCCAGACTGGTGAAAATATGTTATCAGAAAAGCAGTTATATAACAGGAAATCTCAGTATATATCATCTTCAGTTAATGTTGCTCAATCCATAATGACACATGATAACATGACTTCTACATCACTGCCATATAACTGTACAATTTCATCTAAGTCTGATGATAACAAGTCATACGATCTAGTCTCAAACTCTCCAGTAAATGCTAAAAGATCAGCAACACCATATTTAAAAAATCATTATGTAAATAATTGTACAGAATCATTGTCATTAACTAATAAATGTCCATCATATGCCATATCTAATTCTGGCTTCCACTTACCATCAGATTATCCAAATCAGATAAGTCAAGGTAAAGAATATACAGTAAATTCACAGTGGAATGTAAAATCAATTTGTTTATCAAATGAAAAATCTGATAAAATAATTAAAATGCAGTTAGCAAAAAATGCATTGAAAGAAAAAGTGTGTAAATCACTTAAACTTTCTCAGTCATTAAAAATTGATCCTCAACAAAATAATAATTCTGATGATAATGTTCCATTAAATTTTTCTACTAAGACAAATCTCTGCCAACAACCAGCAATTGAATATTCTAAAAAAAATAAAAATATTTTTCCAGTTTGTAAATATCCTAAGAAGTCTTATTTAAGTAGTTTTTATTCAGAAATTGAACCAATAAATATGACAAAGTCAAAAACTTCTTCAGATTCACAAAGTGATAACCATACTTCAAATTTATCTACTAATCAGCATTGCCAAAATGCATATTTTCAATCTCAGAATTCAGATATTGATAAATCTACAGCTTTGCACTTAAAAGTTAAACAATATGATCAAAAAGCTTATTCTCCATCAAAAACCTCTGATTTTGCTGATAAATTTTCACATTCAGTTTTAAATTATAAACATTGTCTCCAAAGTGATCATTCGTCATTGAAAAACTTAAATTTTGTTGATAAACCTGTATCTTCCACTTTAAATATTAAACAACATAATCAGACAGACAGAATTTATTCTACATCAGAAAATATTAAATTTGATGATAAATGTGCATCTTCAGCTTTAAATGTAAAACAGTTTTGCCAAAATGCATATTCTCCAAAGAATTTTGATTGTTTTAATAGGCCTTCATCTTCAGTTTTAAATTCCGAACTGCCGCCCAGTCAAAATATATATTCTCTGTCAAAAAGTAATAATTTTATTAATAAATTTACATCTTCAGATATAAATTCTAAACAGCAATATCAAAATGTTTTTCCTTCTTCATCAAATAATACCAGTATTGTTAATGATCCTTCAGTTTATAATGTTAAACAATCAGTCAACCATAATCCCCATTCCCTCTCAGAATATGTTGATTATAATAAATCTTCAACTTCCTCTTCAAATTATGAACAATCTAATCATACTGTTTTCTCCACTTCAAGTAATCTTGATTTACCTACAACTTCAGTTTTAAACTCTAAACAGCATTATCAGACTGCTTTTTCTTCATCAAATAATTTTAATTTATTCACATCTTCAGTTTTAAATTTAAAACAAGATAGTCAATCTATGTTCTTTCCATCAGATAATTTAGATCCATCTACTTCAACTATAAATATGAAACAGCACAACCAAAATATCCGTTCATCAAAAAATACTGAATATTCTGATAAATCTACCTCTTCTGTTCCTAATTACAAAGAACAAAGTCAAACTGTTTATTCTCCAGTTAAAAGTAATAACTTTAGAAATAAGTCCGTAATTTTAAATACTAAGTTTTGCAGTGAAAATGTTAATATTCCATCAAAAAATGCTGCTGATAAATCTGTTTTTTCGGTTTTAAGTTTAAAACAACATAATCAAAATGTTTATTCTCTAACAAAAGATATCCCTGGGGAACTGACAACTTCAGTTTCAAATTCAAACCAATTAAACCAAAGTATTTATGCTTCATCAAAACCTATTAATGATGACAGTAAATCTATATCTTGTAATTCATCTCAGGTATCACAATCACAACATTATTCAGAAACAGTTGTTCATAATTCTGTCAATACAAGTTGCTCAAACTCAAAAAGTGAGATAAACAGTGGTCCAAATTATTTGAATGTTAACAATGTAAATTCTTATCCTATTTCTTCTTATTTACCTTCTTTTCAAAATACATTTTTGAATAACCCTGCATTATCAGAATCTAATTTAAATAAAAATAATCAAAGTGAAATAATTAATAAAGACACATATAATAATAATAATAATAGTATTAGTAAAGAGTTACCAATCAACTGTACTTTAAGTAGTCAACAAAATTCATCTTCGGAATCTTCCATATCTAGATGTATGCTACCGAATATCCAAAATTCTGTACATGCAATCAATCAAGAAAAAGCTGGACCTAAGTCTTACATAAACCAGAATCAAGAATTTGAAAAAGAAAAAATTGCGTCTGTTTTAAACGAGAAAACTGAAACTACTAATGTCTATCATGCTTCACAAAATTCATTTCAAGCTAATAATGAATATCAAATTTTGAAAAATGAAACACCTTCAGATTGTAAAGCAGCTCCAGAAGATACAATTTATGAAGTTCATTCAGACAGTGAAGGCAATTTTCAAGATGACGAGATTGGTGGTGTTGCCATAGCATTAACTCATGGATCAATATTGTTTGAGTGTGCTAAGCATGAACTACATGCAACAACAGCACTAAAAAATCCTAATCGTAAAAATCCAACTAGGATTAGTTTAGTATTTTATCAGCATAAAAACTTAAATTATCGCAATCATGGAGAAGCCGAATGGGAGAAAAAAATAGAAGCTAAACGATTGGAAGAAGTTGTAAACAGTTCCACAAGAGACCTATCATTACCAAATAAAAGAAGATGTGATGAAGAAGAAAAACAATTAGAAATTCCTCCAACTAAACAGTGTTTTTCTCATACAACTATGAGTTGGGCAACTGTATTTCCAATACCACCATTAATTGTTACAGGACCCTACCAGAAGTGGCTTTAGATTGTTAAATATATTGTACTATATTTGGTTTGAATTTTTACTAAGACGACAAATCTTTTAAATGTTTGTAAAAAAAAAAAGAAAATACATTTAAACTGTATTCATAAAAATGTATATGAAATAATCTAATAACTCACGTATTTGTAAAATTTAAATGACTCGTACAACATGGAATTCATATAACACGGAATTATCAACAGTGTTATAGGAGGGGTCTACTGTATTTGGTTATTATTGTAGTTGTATTAATCGGCTCTGATTTCTTTTTTTTTTAATTTAATTAACCTCGATGTTAATTACATAATTTAAATTTAAAAACTATTTACTTGTGTTATTGAATAGGTAAATGAAAGGAAATCAAATCCGGCATTTTGGTACGTTGGTAAAAATGGAAGAGAAATCAAGTGGAATTTTCAAGAATTGGCCAATCAGGCGAGGAAGTGAGTTATTTCTAATTGTAGCATAATTTTATTACAGTAGACTTCCCATAACACTGTAGATAATTCCGTGTTGTACGAGTCACTTAGATTTTACAAATACGTGTGCCTGGCTGTTAACGGCTCACGTATTTGTAAAATCTAAGTGACTCGTACAACGTGGAATTCATATAAAACGGAATTATCTACAGTGTTATAGGGGGGTCTACTTTATTTTTTTAAATATTGTAATTATAATCATTGTTATGCATTTGTGGTCTGTAAATTCTTTTTAGTTTCACTTCGTTGTCTATTATTCCTTTTTGTTGGTGAATACATCGGAATATATCCATTATTATATTTCCGAGTTTATTGAAGCTAACATTTTCATATTTTTATAGCATTACTGATTAAGTGCCATTCGTTAATTACGTGTACAATTTAAGAGGAGGTCCCGAAGAGTACATTGTTACACACGATGGAGGGAAGGATTTACGTCGACTTTTTAAAGTGATATTAAGATTATTTGTATTAGAGAGGCACACGAATTTATTATTGTGCAAATAAACAGAAGATATTTGTAGAACTTTTTAGTCATTTCTTCAATGTCCATGAACTATTGTACAGTACACGTAATTAATGAACACGTAACTTTTGTAATTTGGATATGCCAAATGTACTGTACAACAGGGAAGGGGGTAATGAAAAAAAAATGACTCAAACTGTACACGTAAGTAATGGACGTCCCCTTAATCAGGAATAAACATTCATTTATCCTTGGTTTATTATAATAACTGTTATCTCTATTTTCAATTACTGTATCATAAATTAGTAATACACTGATATAGATTTAGATTAAATAAAATCTCGCGAATATTCGCATTACTCTCAAAATTTAGTCAAATTATTTCCAACTTTTAAAACATTTTATTATATATAGTCATAAAAATTTGTTATATCACTAATTCTTATAAAAATTAAATTATGGATTGTAAAAGAATGCCACATATAATTTCACAAAAATACAAAGAGAAAAATAAGCATTAAGAAATAAACTTTTATTGCCTATTTCATTAAAATACACTGGAGAAAATAATATGGATTCAAATGGATCTTTGTGCTAAAATTTGATAGTATCCATTTTGTAAAATAGTTTGTGTTGATATTTGAATTTATCCATCAATTTCTTAAATAATTTGAAGTGATATTGCTCATATATTCTTTAATATTAATAAAGATATTTACAAATACATGGAAAAAGATCATTTGATTTTTCGTTCAATTATACAGAACAAAATACACAAACCAAAAATGTGATCTGTGTATGTTCTACAGTATTGTTGTTGAAAATATTTGATTTATAATTTACATAATTTGAATATACACATCTACAAAGTACTTTGTGTATTTTTTGAAATGTGATAAGTTAATAGTTTTGTAAACTTAATTTAATTGTTTTATAGTATTAGGTAAAAAAATAGATTTTAGTATTTTGTAATAATGTTTGTTGTGTTATGTTTGAAATTCTTTTTTTATATTAAAATAATATTATATATATATATGTATGTATACTGCATGACATCTGTATATGATTTCATTAATGCATTATATTTTAATATGTTTTGTAATTTGTTTCGTTTTATGTATGACATTCTTTGATCACTGCCATTTTTCACTGTTAAGAATTTTTATGTTGTTTAATCAGTTTTAAGCCACTACAAGATTTTAAGCCACCTAATCATGTTTTACAAACAATTTATTTGAATTTTAATACTAATATTGTTGACACACGAAAACCATGTAAGCATCTACAGGCTTATGTCATAGTTGTACAGGCCTACAGAGTATGCATGTTATGCAAAAATCTTGGAAACATTCAGTAGAATTGGCTGTACTGTTACTTGTATATAACTGGGCAGTCTGCATTGTTGAGGAAATCTAGTAAATGATTAAATCTTTATTTTTTTTTTCTGTTGTTGAGTTTAGTCAGTGATAAATCTAGATAATTACATGATTAAAAGTTATAATGAACCTTCACACAGGAAAATCTTAAGTTATTATATGCAATATTAATACTGCCTTTTGTTACTCCTGTAAAATTTAATTTTTGGCACTTACAGGGTATTTGTGTGTCAACGACATTATATTCTTTGTAAATTTTGTTTTCTATATCATGGTTTAAAATTTAACATGCAATAATGATGTGCATTATATTATGATATCAAAAAATAAATATATNTATCACATTATTAATTTATATTTTATTTATTATGCCATTAACTGTATGAATTTTTAATATTTTTATTATTAGGTAGAGTTTGAATCACAAGCATATTGTTGTCGTCTTGGAAGAGAAGCTGGACGTCCATTTTCAGGTGTAACTGCATGTGTAGATTTTTGTGCTCATGCTCATAAAGATTTGCATAATATGAATAATGGATGCACTGTGGTAAGTTTTATATGATCATCTTGTTTTAATTTCTTTCTCAAACTCTCGTTTAAAATTTTGAACAGAACTTAGTTTTTCTGATATCAATACAATAGTGTAAAGCACTCTGTAATACAGTGTTTCCCAACCTATTTTGACCTTTGGTAGAAAATATGATAAACTTTTGAAACAAAATGTGCTTAAATATTTGAAATCCTCGATTAAATTTTTAGAGTAGCAGAATATAGATGAATATAGTTAAAACAACCTCTGAATCTTCAAAATATTTCATTCCGTTGCCTTATTTGGAAGACATTAAAAGCTAAGACATTCACAAAATCCCAAGAACTTTTAAATCTTTTGATTTATCATCAGGGGAATCTTAAAAGAAATGTTAACAAGACATAATATTCAAACAAGTTTTCATAAAATTGGCATTCTAAAATTTCCTTTGATGATGAACCAAAAGGTTTGCAAGAACTTGTGATTTTGTTTTGTGACTGCTTATATTTTATTGTCTTTCAATATAGTAATGTATTAAATTGTTAAAAAAGGCACGCAGCTGATGCCTGCGCAACGCATATTCTAATCAAAATCTGTCAATGCGCACTTGGCCAGAAGTACACGTTTGCATGTGTATACCTATGTGGACCTCTTGGTTCTTTAAAACGTGTGTTACCAAAGCACATGCTTCAAAACACCTAATGTGTACTAGCCCTAACATTCTGTAACACTAAAATGTGTGTAAATATTTTCCATATAAACAGTTTAAAAAATTAACAGTCATATGGTATTTATAAATATAACTTTATCTTTTATCTAAATTATAATCTCACAAAAATGATTTAACCAACAGCCCACTTTATATTTTAAAATTGCACAAACTGATAACATTGAAGACTTAAAAAAAGAAGCAAAACTTTTAAAGTCTTCTAAACATCCAATTAAAACATCCTTTCACAGTTTCTGGAACACAATCAACATTGGTGGAGTTGACCTTCCTTTATAGGTTCTTTCCCACCTATATTTATGTAAATTGTTCAAAAGTTCTATGATGTTTGATATCTTCAAAATTTTCATTGTAAAAAAATATTTAAAAAACAAATCCAGGATGAAATATATATTTTAAAATTGTACAAATGAACAAATTTTAAACTGGAATTTTATTTACTTTTANGGGGGGTCGACTGTAGTTTCAATAGCATTGGATTTTTTTTCTTGTTTTAAGTAAGGTTTTGATTGTATCTTCTGTTACAGTGGTCCTACATCTTTACGTAAACTGATAGCACTGAGAATAACGATTATACGGAAGTATTGATTACGGAATAAGGAAATACATTTCAGATAGTTGATGATAATATTATTTCGAACAAAAACATCATATATTTATGCTTATCTATACGTTCGTTAATTTTATGCATTATATATAGTGAATTAATTATTAAAGCTACTTAAATTTCAATAAATAACGTAGTAGTTAATAGTGTTATTCAAATAGCATTAGTAAAACACTAATGGAAGAAAGCGCGGGTTAACGAGACCCTAAATAAGGCCCGTCATTGACGCAAGAAAATTGATGAACCAAATACAAATACAAACCCAATTGGTTCATCAATTTTCTTGCATTTTATTATTGTAAGCTTTATAAATACATTCTGTAAGATATAGTAATGTATATATAATAATAATCACCATCATCATCCGGAAATTGCCCGAAGAAAGGCTGAGAGTATGAGCCTGATAGAGCTGCAAAGATCAATAGCTGTGTTGTCAGCGACTATTTTGATAAACTGAAGGATGTTAGATATTTTCGATAAACCCCATCTAATATATATATATAATATACACGAGAAAGGCTATAGACTCGCTCTCCATAAACAACAAAATGTGTATGCCAGAAAAGGAGAAAAAAGTGCATCTTGTAATACCTGAACATGTCTTCTCGTGTGGAAACGTACTGAGTCAATTGATACCGCTTATGATTATTTTAAAAGGGAAAAGATTAAATCCTGAATGGAAGGATAACGTTTCACTTGTCACAGAGGTTGTGATGACCGAGGAAGGATCAATAACCACAGTAACTTTCATCAAATGGGTTTTTCATTTTGCAAAATTTGTGTTGAATAAATACATTTATTATAATTCAATCAGCTCTTACTTCTTACCTTAATTAATAAATTATTTCTTTACGTATGGGACTTATTTGGAATGGGGTTCCAAATACGGCCCATTTCATAACTTTTAAATTTTACTAACAGAAAATAAAATCTGT